TCTCTACAGTAACAGCTTGCTTCACTTTGGTCAGGTACCTTTAAAACCAATGGAGTTTGGTAATTGTGTTTGAATTATACTTCCACATTGTTTTTATTGGTCTTCTAAATGAAAGAATTTAAGATAGAGCAAGATAACAAGATTTGGACCAATGCGAAGTCAGTGAACATCTCTTCCCTACAATGTGCATATATGACGAGTTTTTGTCGTGCAACATCAGAACTTATAAATGTTTGTTTTATGAGCTTAGTAACGGTTTCCCTTAGCTAAAGACCTAATGATTCTTGTGTTGGAGCTTTATTTGGTTTCACTGTTACATGTGAAGTAGTTAACTTGTAATAGTGGCCACTAGCTTTTATAGGTTTTCAGTATTTATTTAAATTTTTAACTCTGTAAAAATTTTTGAAAAGAAAAATCTTTTGTTTTCTTAGTAAAATTAGGTTCTCTTTCGTTGAGTCATCTCACATGTAACAGTAGATCTGGTAAAAAAGGCTACTTGAATTGTGAGAAACTCAGGATTGTGGCCAATCCCACCACCCGGCCCGGGGGGGGGGGGTCCTCTCCTTTCACGGCAGAAAAACCCCTTATCCCTCCCGCTTCCGATTTGTCTCTTGATTTTTTCCTCTCAAAATATTTAATTATGCAGTAACAACCCTATATGCCTTTCATATATATATATATATATATATATATATATATATATATATCGATTTTTTTTTTTTAAATTCATTTATTACTCTTTTTTTTTTCTGGCCGTTGGCAGCAATTAAATTTGTGGGGTCCTCTCTTGTTTTTGAGGACCTTAAAATCTTCAAACATTATTTTTAACTAACCAACCAGAATAGTCTTTGGAGGGATTGGAACAGTGATTTTCCCCCCCTCATTTTAGGAAGGGGAAATCCTCTTTAGAGATTGTTTTTGTTAATTGTATGGCTCCTACTTAGGGATTTTTTTTTTCCCAACCTTGGACTTCGACTGTTACCAAGTTGCCATTGCGTATAGAACATTTATGTTTTAAATCCCTGTTCTATTGTTAGTTTGAATTGTTTCTTAGAATCAACATTCCTTTGACCTGGATTAAAATGGCATTGTGCCACGTATTTGATGTGTGGAGCTTAAGTGCCTGTTAGCAGCTCATCACTCTATATTTTCTACACATCTTTATTAGCTCAAAGATAGTGTGAATATATTTGTAGCCATTAAGTTTAACTTCCTTTGCCTTTTATATTTTATCTTTTTCAGAATGTAGCTTTTGATACACTGAAGGATTTACTTGTTTCAAGTGACATAACCTTGGGTAAGTGACTATATTCCTTATTCTATAGATGCTCAAACATGGATACTAAAAAAGTTTAAGGGTCTCATTATAACCGGTTTTAAATTGTACATTGTATGAACAGAGCTGTGAAGTCATTTGGACATTACATGTGAAACAAACCCATTTTACAAAGTAAAGTCAGTGAAACTGATAGAACACACTATTTTTACGCCTTTTCTTGGTGGTAAACAGTGATGTGTTGGTACTATATGATGAGCTAAGTGACAAATGCCTTGTGCAACTTTTTGTGAATGGTGTTCTGTGACTAAATGTGTCAATTGATATTGCATTCAATTCAGTGTAGGTTATTTATTAGCTTTTGGATTGATAATATATTAATATATAACCCAGAGCTTCACTTATGTGATTGTTAGGAATTAGGATACAGAATTGCATCTTATATGTACTTGATGCCGTTGTAAAAGGCCATGCAAATCAATGGCTGTGGTTTGTTATTATGAATTTACGGTATTAATATAGCATCACAAGTTTATAAACTTCCTTGTGCAGCTACTAAATCATCTGAAGAGGAACTAACCATGGACCCTTGTACTCCTAAGGGATATGCTGAGAGCATTAATTCATTTAATCTTGCTCCTGATTCTTCGGCCAAAAAATATTTATCCACTTTCCATGCAGCTGGGAACTTCTCAGAGTGCAGAGCTGCTGCCTTGAAGCTGTTACAGAGGGGCAAAGGTTGTCATTTGTTCTTTTCTGTCTGAAATGATGCTACGTTTGATCTGTTCTGCATGCATTGACCATGATTTTCTTTATATTTTGATATAGTTAAATGTTATACTTTTGATAAGATTTTTAAATGTGTTTATCATAGGAAAATTTGCCAATTACAACCGATAAAAGTGCCCATTTTGCGGGTTACAATTATCTAAGTTTATTTTTGCAAATTACAACCAAAAAAAGTCACCAAAAATTTTAAATTACAACCAAAATCCAATTTTCGGCCACTTTTTATCGGAATATGATGTTAATCATTTGACTCCCAACCAATACTAATTTGGAATCATTTAATGATATAATGACATCATATTTTTTGTGAAAGTGGTTGAAAATTGAATTTTGGTTGTAGTTTAAATAAATGTTGGGCAACTTTTTTGGTTGTAATTTGCAAAAATAAACTTTCAAATTACAACCAATACCCAATTTTCGGTCACTTTTACCGGAATATGATATTAATCATTTATTGATATAAAAAATAACCCCCAACCAATACTGGTTTGGAATCATTTAGTGATATAATGACGTCATGTTTTTGTGAAAGTAGTAGAAAATCGAATTGGTTGTAGTTTAAAATGTTGGGTGACTTTTTTGGTTGTAATTTGCAAAAATAAACTTTGATGGTTGTAACCCGCAAAATGGGTATTTTTACCGGTTGTAATTGGCAAATTTTTCCATTTTGATACCATAATACCTTTTTTTTAATTTTTATTTTGGGTAATTAAACACTTAGTCACTTACATCAAGTTATTTTCTAGAGGGTTGTGCCTACGATCATTGCACTTTGGGAGCCACATTTATGCCTAAGCTGCATGGCAGATTCTTGGCTACTGAGAATTTTTTTCATACATCACAGGTTTGAAATTCTTTCTTTTGATGGAGCTGTGAGAATATATTGTAAAAACTTGTTGCTCTCCATTTGATTGGATATTACATTCACAAAGATTTCTTTTCAATTTCTGTTTAGTTCTTTGGCTTGGCTTCAAAGGCAGTTCTCTCTGATCTAATGGAAGCTGGTCAAGCATTTTGTGAAGAGAATTGGCCAAATATTCGAAAGAAATATTCTTCACTTGCTGAGGAAGATCTCTTACACTACTGCTTCTCATCTGCCTACATTGTGGCCTTTTTACATGATAGCCTTAACATTGCATTGGATGACACAAGGTAATTTTCTTTGTAACAATAGTTTATATTCTGGTTCTAACTAGCTCTCAATCCCCTGAACCCCTGCCCTAATCTTAATTTGAGGTTGAGTACAACTTTTATTTTGGATCGAATTTGCTATTCCTATTCTAAGCTGTTTCAGGCCGTCTTGCTCACTAATGGCTGTTGGTTCCCCGCGTTCCAGTGACCTGATATCTTGAATTCTTTTCTTATAAGTCTATTATGATGTCGTTTATTTTTTATTTGGATTAGTGAAGAAGGAAATGTTGTGATTTATCATGTAGTTTAATCCATTTTCCCCTTGTTTTATTATGCTTTGGTATTCTGCTAATTGCTGATTGACGGAAATACTTATTTTACAGCATTGGATATACCAATCAGGTGGAGAATGTACCTCTCGATTGGGCATTAGGTGCTTTCATCTTACAGACAACAGCTATAAATGGAGCAAACTATGGGTGGGTTTCTTTGATTAGTGACAACTTCCCTAACTCTTTCTTGATTATGGGTGCCACAATCTTGTTAACCTTTGCAGCCTGTTATGTTTTTCAATGGAGGAAACCATACTTCAAAACTATTTATGATTTGGAGAAAGGACGTTACATAATAACTCGAATCAATAGGTAAAGCTCACAATTCTTACCAACATAAAATCAAATACGTTGCCTGGTCGGCTGCTCAACAAAGGAATGGGTCTATGTTCCTTTTTGGTGCCCTATATAATTCTTTCGTAAAGGTATTCTGGGATGCCTTGTAGTATTTTCTCATGAAGTTGATCAAGAGTACCATTTTTTAAAGGGGGCAAATTGTCGGAGCCAAATTTTCCAACATAGCATTCAGTACATCCACACGTTTTGTCTGTAAATCATTAGTCCTTGATGTAAAGTAGGGCGAGGTGAAGCCCTCGTCCTGGTGCAGATATAAAATGCATACTGTCTAGTTGAGTTGTATGAAGTTCTGGCACTAAGTTTAGCTTTTTGGACCGTTAGGAATTATACTAATACAATCTACTGTAAGAAACCTGTTGTGTTAAAGCTCAGTGATGCAATTCTTTACAAAGCTTCTAAATGCTTTCAATCTATATTCATTTTTTTCCCCCTGTCAATTCTGTAGTCAAATTGTATTTAATAGTATGGATGGGATAGGAGCTTAATGCTTTTAGTATAAACAAAAGAGGGACTTAGGCGACAACAGCGAAAATTAGTGCAACATTAAGAACTATATGAGTGTCTACAACTCTGCATACACCTCGTGCAGGCGGTTACGCAGCACAAAGGACACACTTGATAGAGCCCAAGACTGACCTTTTGAAGCAGATGTTAACCTTCATTTAGAGACCTGTTTTCGAACAACCTGCATGCAAGTACTTCTATAGCGAGTATTACTCTTGATTGACAACTGAATTCACAATCGAGGAAGAATTTTATGGTTACCTAAGTTATAAAACTGTGATTGGCACACAAGCTTGTGCAAAATTCGAATAAGCCTATCAATTTCTCAGTAAACTCAGTATAATGCTCACTAAGATTTTAAAAATATGTTAAATTACACTCATATTTCACAGGCCACAATGACTGTATATAAGCTCTCCTTAAAATGCTAGATCAAAGTAAACTGTACTATCATATTTTTACTATTTCACCTTTAGAAAATATGTACTTTGTATAAAAGATAAATAAGACTTTTATTTGGAAACAGAGGGATTACAAGAACACAGATAACCTATCCTATCCACGTCAATAAGAGGATTTTTAAAGTCACCTTGCACAATCCAAGACAAATTAATAGAGTAACATATGTTCTTTAGGAAACTTTCACCTTGTACACCATACATATTAAACATTAACGGCACAAGAGCTTACAATAACATGAAACGATCATAAACATGTAAAGGCGACAAACATAGGTAATTAAGAGTTCAAAATTACCAATAAGACGAGTTGTTAAGAGACAATAATCCTTTAATTACTTAGCATAACATATAGTTTTAACTTAATTGGGATCAGAAGTTGGAGAGTCATCAGAGTTGGCAGCAAAATGTTTCAGAGCAATCTCCAAAAGACAGTAACAAAGCTGTTTAGGCATGCAGAACATGGGCATGTGATCTGAGTGTTTAAGCATCCTCACTTCTTTCACCTCATCATTCTTAATCATCCAAGATTGGAATGCTGGTGGTATTGCTTCATCTTCGTCACACATCACATAAACACGCCGAACTGATCCATATCTCTCCTCGGAAAGCTTACTCTCTGGCCTCGATAGATCCTCAAGGAACATCGATGATGGCCTTTTCAATGTCATAGCAAGCTCATAGTCCTTGTAACATTTCCACAAAATAACACTTGGTTAAGTAATGTATAATATAGGAACAAAATGTAATAATGTTTCCACATAATTATATGTTGTCCTGTATATATAACATGTAATAAGTACGTGATTAAACATCTCGTGCATTACCACGACTACATCTTAGTTTAATCTATATTGTGAATTTAATTAAAAACGGAGTAAGAAAACAAGTTAAGTATGTACCTCAGGGGGGGACAACTTATAAAGCTTAGACATGAAACGAGGACCAAATAAAAATGATGTAATTGTGTCATTTGGGTCATCGGAGCTCTTGAATTCTGTGTCCAACCAATATTCTTCTGCTGATGGCATACTTGCCATGAACTTTTCCAATGTAAAAATAAAACATGAAGCATTCATTATTTTGGATGATTTTATTAATTCAAAACAATACCACATCTGCAATTGTTAGAATCTTATAAACAAACCAATGTGAATTTCTTAACAATAAACATTACAAATTTATATTCAATCATACTCCGTACATATGTTATGTAACCAAAAAAAAAAAAAAAAAAAAAAAAAACATATTCTTGAGACTACAATTTAACTTTGGATTTTATACGAATTGATCCTCTTCTACTTGCATGCCCTTGTTAGATTTATTATTTGAAGGGCGCGTTTAATTAATTCAACCGGTTTTTGCATATGTTATACGGAGTATTTAGATTATTAACTGTTTGGGTCCAATTTAGTCCAATTGGGCCTAAGCACTAAATGATCCAATTAAAAGCCCAAGGTCAAGGTTCAACTCTCCAATTGTGCTAAAGTCAAAGGTCAGCCCACAAAGCAAGCCAATTGGGCTAAGGCCCAACCTCTCCATGTATGATGAGGTATAAAAGCCATCATATTGATACATTCAAAGAGGGGGGGATTCATTCTGATTCATGGATAGATTCATATGTTCATTGATATATTCCATAAAAGCCTCAAGCAACAAACTCTCTTGCATAGTGTCTTCTTCTCACACATTGTACTGACTTTAGCATCGGAGGGGCCTTCCTCGGCAACACCCCCGAGGCCAGTTTACGTGTGTTTACTGTGCAGGAAACCTTCGGCCCAACATAACTTGGACCGAATCCAGCCTTCTCCATTTCAGCGGACCTTCGGCAAGGTCCCATTGTTTTCACCCGAAACAATTTGGCGCCGTCTGTGGGGAAGACTTTCAAAAATCTTTAAGCCAAATACCTAACCAAGATCATCTTGCAATTATCTTAGCAGCAATGGCTAAGAACCGCAAGAGCAAAAGCCTCCGTCAAGGAGCGGGCGAAAAGCCTAAAACCCCTACACCATCGCCCTCGCCGGACCGGAACTCTCCCAAGGGTGCCGGCTCGGGGGGAGGATCATACAAGGAGGATTCCCTATCTCCCGTAATTCATGACTCTCAATATAGGCCGGGCCACTCTCGGTCTAGCAGGGGTGAGTCCGATCATAGGACATATTCAGTGTCCCAAAGCCAACCATCGGCTGCGCGCCCTCATTCCCACACTCGGCCGAGGACCCCTTTGACGGGGCCCAGCTCAGAAGAGGTGGCCAGAGCGCTGGCAGTACTCATGGAGGCGATGAGGGCACAAAATATGCCACCACCTCGTGATCGAACTCCTCCGCATACTTGGCACCAGCGGAGGAAGTTAGACCATGATGGTGGGAAGCTTCCTTCCTTCCGGGAACTGGAAGAGTGGGAGGAGGATTCTTGGAAAAATGAAAAACAGAGGAAAAAGAACCCTCAATTTTTAAAAGGATCCTCATCCTCAAGACCAGAAGCGCATAAGAGCAGCAGCTCAGCTTCTCGGCCAGAATCTACTCACCGAGAACCTGAGACTGTTCGCAGAAGCGTCCTTGACCGACTCGGCGGCCAGGAACCGAGCGTGCGTAGTCGCCTCTCGTTCCCTGCAGCCGAGGCCCAGACTTCCCAGCCAGGGACGAAAACCACTCCTACCTCTCTAAGAGGGCGGAGCGCGGTCCCTTCGGCCAGGAACAAGGGCAAGGCCGTTATGCTACCCGCTAGTTCACCATTCGAGCAATGGATACTGGAAGAGCGCGTACCCACGGTTAAAATACCGTCGCACATCACATATGACGGGACCACGGATCCGAAGGATCACGTGGCCTCGTATGAGACTCATATGCATCTTTGCCCCAGATCCGAGGCGACTTGGTGCAAATATTTCCCAACCACTCTCAAGGGGGTCGCGCAAGCGTGGATCTCCAAGGGAGTAAGGCAAGGCTCCGTAACAGGGTGGGATGATCTGTCCTCCAAGTTCAGGAGCAAGTTTTCCACGGCAAACCGCCGAGAGAAGACTACCGCAGAGCTCATGAGTCTGCAACAGGGGGAAACCGAAGCCTCCGAGACTACTTGACCCGTTTCAGTAACGAGTCATCAAGCGTCTCCCAGCTGGACCAGGGGCTAGCCGTTTTCGCAATGCAGAATGGCCTTCAGCCAGGAAAGTTCCTAGACTTCATGGTCATGCATACCCCGCAGACCTTGGAGGAAGCTCTTAGTGCTTCGGATAAGTTCATCCGAGCCGAAGAATGGAACAAAGCGAAAACCCAACCTCAATCCGGGGGAGGGAAACAGAGGCAAATACCCTTGTCTGAAGGCCAAGGCCATAAGGCAAAGGGAAAGTCAAAGGCCCCGGAGCAATCTTTGGCCAATGACCCAAAGAAGGAAAGATTTGCCTCATACACAGGCAGATACGAGTCCTACACTCCGCTCTCTCTTCCACGCGCCAAAATTTACAGTGTGACAAAGGAGGAGCAGAGTTACCGAAAGCCGAGACCACTCCCAGAGTGCTATCAGCTTAAAAATAAAAATCAGTGGTGTGAGTTCCACGAGTCTTCGGGCCACAACACTGAGGAGTGTATCCAACTGAAGGACCAGATAGAGGACATGGTCCGGAAGGGATACTTGAAAAAATACATCGCGGATCACCACGAGAAAAAAGAATCCGAGAGGTCAGCAAAGGACCCTCGGCAGGACCTTGACTTCCCCCGGAAAAACAGTAAAAAGCCGGAGGGGAAATTCCCTCCGATCAATGTTATCTCGGGAGGAATATACTCTCGGAGGGAGCACAAGCGCCACCTTAGAGCTTTGACTCACCAGGTGAACAACGCTGACATTCAATCTCCCCAGTCGCCGGTGCCGAACATGACGTTCACAGCCGCCGACTGCCGGGGGATTACATTCCCTCATGAGGATCCGTTGGTGATCATCGCCACGGTGGCCAACCACGACGTCAGTAAGGTCCTTGTTGACGGTGGCAGTGGAGCAAACATTCTGTTCCGGAAGGCCTACAATCAAATTAAGCTGAAGCCCAAGCACCTTACGCCGGTACCCTACCCGGTATCCGGGTTTTATGGGGCTTCAACTTATCCAGATGGGAAGGTGACACTTCCTGTCACCATCGGTTGCGATGAGGCAGCCCGGAACGTCATGATTGAATTTTTGGTCATCGACGCTCCTTCAGTGTACAACGTGATTTTGGGGAGACCCATAATTCACGAGATCCAAGGGGTCGTCTCAACTTATCATCAGCTGATGATTTACGTCTCAAACGCCGGCTTCCCCGAAAGGATACAGGGCAACCAAAAGGACGCCCGAAGGTGCAACTACCTCAAGCCATCCAGTAGTCGCCCAGATGACGACAAGGATGAGGAGGAGAAAGAAAAAGAAAGAGAGCCAAGCACAAAAAAGCCGAAAGGCCTAAGTGCTTCGGCCCAAGGATCTGTACCCAGAGGTAAAGGGCCCGAAAGGGAAAAGGCTAGCTCCTCAGCTGAGCCGCAAGACTCAGAGAGCCAGCCGAAGAACAAAAAGACTGGGACACCTGCTGACATTGGCAGCAGGCCAGATTATGAAGAGTCCAATCCATCAGCAATGGACATGGACCAACAGACTGAAACAGTTGAGTTGGCCGAAGGAGACGCTGAGAAATGTGTAACAATCGGGATGGACCTTGATCCGAACACCCGTTGCGAACTTATTCAGCTCCTTCGGGATAACAGAGATGTGTTTGCTTTCTCGGCAGCTGATATGCCTGGGATAAGTTCAGACCTCATCTCCCATAAGCTTAATGTTGACCCGACGTGTCGACCAGTTAAGCAAAAGAAGCGGAATTACTCCGCCAATAAGAACCGAGACATCGCAGCCGAGGTCAAAAAATTATTGGAGGCAGGATTCATCGAACCTTGCCAATATCCAGAATGGCTGGCAAATGTGGTGATGGTTCAGAAGCCCAATGGTACCTGGAGGATGTGCGTTGACTTCACGGACCTAAATAAGGCTTGTCCAAAGGATTTCTATCCCTTGCCGAGGATCGATCAGCTAGTCGATTTGACAAGTGGCCATGCCTTGCTTAGTTTCATGGACGCATTCTCGGGGTATCATCAGATCTTTATGCACCCCGACGATCGAGCAAAGACAGCATTCGTCACGAACGCTGGGGTGTACAATTACAAAATGATGCCCTTCGGATTGAAAAATGCGGGGGCAACCTATCAAAGGCTGGTGGATCAAGTTTTCGCCGATCAAAAGGGCCGAAACATGGAAGTCTATGTTGACGATTCGATCGTCAAAAGCAAGAAACTAGAGGACCATGTAAAGGACCTGGCTGAAACTTTCGCCACCTTGAGAAAGCATCAAATGAAGCTGAATCCGAATAAGTGTGTCTTCGGCGTGAAGTCAGGGAAATTCCTGGGGTTCATGGTCAGCAAAAGGGGGATTGATGCCAATCCCTCTAAAGTCAAAGCGGCGCTCGACCTTCCCGAGCCGAAAACGAAGCGGGATGTTCAGCGGCTCACCGGAAGAATGGCAGCCCTCTCGAGGTTCATTTCCAGAGCTTCGGATAAGGGGTTACCTTTCTTCAAAGCCCTAAAACTCCTGAAAACAAAAGAGCTCGTTTGGGAGGAAGAGCAAAAAGACGCCTTTAAACAGCTTCGGGAGCATCTGGCTCAACTCCCAACGCTGGCTAGCCCAGCTGAAGGAGAAACTTTTATACCTATATGTGGCCGTTAGCCCGGCCACTATCAGCGCAGTATTGCTGAAGGAAGAGAGTAAGAGTCAGCAACCGATCTACTTCGTCAGTCATACACTGACGGATGCCGAGACTCGCTATCCTCTACTCGAGAAAGTTGCTTTCGCGGTAGCAGTAGCTGCTCGGAAGCTGAGGCCCTATTTTGATTGCCATCAGATAGTGGTCTTAACTGATCAGCCGTTGGAAAAAGTTCTCGGCAAGGTTGAAAAATCTGATAGGCTAGCCAAGTGGGCTTTTGAGCTCACCGAATTCAGCATCAGCTACCGTGCGAGGGCTTCCATTAAGGCTCAAGCTCTAGCGGATTTCTTGGCCGAATGCTCATACCAAGAAGCGCTAGACAGTGAAAAGAAAGTCTGGACCGTGTTTACGGATGGGTCTTCCACCGAAAACGGTTCCGGGGCAGGAGTAGTGATAACTTCTCCCGAAGGCAAATCCTTTGAGTATGCACTAAAGTTTTCTTTTAAGGCCTCGAACAATGAAGCCGAGTATGAGGCAGCAATCGCCGGCCTAAAATTGTGCATCTCCTTGGAAGCCGATCATGTCTGCTTAAAAACAGACTCTCAGCTAGTTGCATATCAGATCAGTGGCAGCTACGAGGCCAAAGAGCCCTCCATGATAGCTTATCTTGCCAAGATCAAATCA